GGGAATGCACGCGAGATGGAACACTGTTGCTGTCCTCAAGTAAACGCCTGGCGGAACATCTCTGCCTTACATGCCCTGTGGAACTGCATTAAGTTCCTCCGGGCACAGATGTTATCTGGCAGAGATGTATCTGAAGTCGATTCTGGCTCCTTTTGGGGTCAGATTGCACAATGAGACTTCCAGTCATGGGACTCCAGAATAGGGATGCCAAGTCCCCCAGGGGGGCGGGGAATCCCCCACCCGGGAGGCCCGTTCCCCGCCGCTGCTGGATCGGCCCCCTGGGGGGAACCCCACCCCCAAAGCACGTCACACGGAAGTGACGCAAGCATGTTGGGGACGTTGGGGATGGGGCCACAATCATCCAAGGGAAACCTCTATGGTTTTCCCTCGGATGATTGTGGCCCCGCCCCCAACGTCCCCGACGTGCTTGCGTCACTTCCATGTGATGTGCTTGCGGCACACGCGAAGACTCCTGGAGCAAGGCTGGACTCCCCCACTCCGGAACAGGTAAGCACTGGGCAACCCTACTCCAGAATGATGGTCAGCTGGGCCTGTAGATCCCAAGTTTCTTTTTAAATGAAGGAACCCAGATTTCCTTGCCTTTTTAGTTTGAAATTTGGGCTCCAGTTCTAGAGCTGAGAACCATAAACTTTATTAGCTGGATTTACAGTCTGCCTTTCTGCCCATCAGGGAACTCTAGGCAGTTTTCAGAGAGGGCGATTTCGCACTAGAGCTGCCTCGCGTTTGCCCCGACACAAACACGTTAATTTCACACCCGAGGCTGCGGGGCTGCATTTTGACTCGCGGTTTCGCCCGATTTCCTCCGCAGTTTCGTGATCCTCAAAAACCAGGATCATGAAACTGCGGAGGAAATCGGGCGAAGCCGCGAGTCAAAATGGAGCCCCGCAGCCTTGGGTGTGAAATTAACATGTTTGTGTCGGGGCAAACGGCGGCTGTGCCGCAAGGCAACTCTAGTGCAAAATCGCCCAGAGTTTCGGGGAAGCAGTGTCACCCAGTTAGGCACTGAGCAGACTCAGACACAGGAGCTACATTGTGTTTTTACCATAGAGTCTTGGGGAATTCCTAGAATGTCCTGTGATACTATTTCCCTCACTGTCCACCCCAAATGCTCCTGCCCCTCCATACCCTCCTAGCTGGCAACCCTAACTTTATGCCTTCAGGTCGTATCCTGAGACAATGGACATTCCCACCCCATAGTTTCTCATAATCTCAGAGCAATGAGCAGCTAGGAAGGAGCCAAAATGATGTGCAGATGTTCTGGCCCAGAGGTCTGAAGTCAGTCCTGTTTCTTGCCTCTCCTGTCACCTTACAATGTCCTTGAAGGGAAGGGGACTTCCTGTCACCCAAAGAGGGAATTGCAGTGCAGCAGACCTTACAAAACGAGGCCAGAGGAGTTGCGGCATCCAGCCACGTCTGTCGCAACTCACAGTTGAACAACAATCTGGCACCAGTTCTTTGAAGGTACAGCTGCCTACAAGGCACATTTTAGTCATTTTGGAAGACAGGGATGCTAGGTGGAACCTCACGCTTACCCAGAAGGGCAACAGATTAAGGACAAAAAGACGGACAGAAGGAAATAGTTCTTAACAAGTAATTAAATGGCCAGATTTACTGCTAGTGAATACAGTGATGGCCATGGGCACACATGGCTTCAATAGGGGGGTAAGACAGATTCACGGAGGAGAAGTCCGCTAGTGACTACTAGCCATGGGGTCTAAAGAGGTCCTCCTTATTCAGAGGCAACAAACCTGTAAATGCCAGTGCTAGGAGGCAACACCAAAGGAAGACCTTGGCTTCTCTGTCCTGTTTGTGGGCCCTTCAGGACAACTGGTTGGCCTCTGTGAGGAGAGATGCTGAAATAGATGGACCACTGGTCTGATCCAGCAGGGCACCGTGTATGTCCTTCTGATGAGAAATGTCAGCCTTTGACTTAGAAGCTCCTACTCCTGGCCATCATCATTGCTGTTCCTTACAGGGGAGAAACAAAAGTGCTCTGTACATGCTCAGAGGTGCCATCATTACTGCTTTGTTCTGGCATTCAGAGCAGGATCAGTGGGTCAGATTGGTAAGCCCAAGCTGAAACTCCACACTTCTTCCCTGCTGTGTGTCCTTCTTGGGCACTCAAAGTGCCAAGCGTGGACTTTGCTTCTCTCCCTGCCACATAGAGAAACAACATATAGACCCCACAGGGTAATACTCACCCAGTGTTGCGCTGCTTCTTCTAGCTCAGTTAAGTCCTTGGCAAACTTGGGCAGCTGGACCCAGCTCTTTGTCTGATTTCTTCCTGTCTTTGGTATCTCTTTCATCGCTAGTTTATCTCTGTTGTCTTTCTGCAGAATGTGCAGAACATTACCATTTCTTGGAGGCCACTGCCGTATCCATCTGCCCAAGTCACACATTCAGTTCTTCGGGTGACTGCAGAATCTATGGGGAGGCTCATCACAGCACATTGGCAGGGTGTATACTTTGCAAAACATTCCAGGTTTAATCTAAAGGTGTACGAATACATCGTTCTTCCATTGCTTTGAATTTTCGTCTATTTTCGTCCCAGCTATTTCTCTGGCGAATTTTCCATTTTTAATTATTTTTATGTTGTGCCATTTATATGCAATTGGTGCACAAAATGGGTGTCAGTTTTAGCAGCTGGGAAAGATTTCTGTGTTCAAGAACTTTCAGAACAACAGTCCATATTCTCATGGTTGATATGATAGATGGTATGCTAGCCGTATTTCATCAGATCTCAGCCCAGGCTAGCCGTATTTCATCAGATCTCAGCAGAGTCGGCCCTGGTTAGTATTTGGATGGGAGACCTCCAAGGAATACCAGTAGGGTTGCCAAGTGGAACTTCCCTTGGCGGCAGGGGACTCCTGGGTAGATCCCGGAGCGCGCGCACGCCGCACACACGTCACCAGGAAGTGACATTATGACGCCGGGCACGCTGGGGGCAGGGCCACGACCATACAAGGGAAAACCATAGAGTTTTCCCTTGTATGGCCGTGGCCCCGCCCCCAGCATGCCCAGCGTGCCCGCGTCACTTCCGGGTCACGCGCACGTCGGGGAGGAATTCCCCCGGGGCTTGATCTGGTGTGCCGGGGAACGGGCCTCTGGGGCAGGGTTTTCCCCGCCCCCCCGGGGGGACTTGGGATCCCTACATACCAGGGTCACCACACCGAGGCAGGCAAAGGCAGACTACCTTCGAATGTCTCTCACCTTGAAAAACCCAACGGGGTTGCCTTGAGTCAGCTCTGACTTGATGGCACTTTCCACTACTACCGTGCAATGTGTACTCTCTGATTCATGAAAACACTTGAATTTGTCAAATGACCCACGCTTAAATTTTAATTTTAGATTTCAGTTTTTTGAAGACGAAAAGTCCAAGTTCACAGAATATTTGGAAGGTGCCTGTAATCCAAGGTAATTTTCAGTATCTTTTCTTTTTATTTCTCTCACATGCGAAATCATAAATATTTCCCAAATATCAATACATTTAGAGTTCGCATATCATATTTCAACAATGACTTCAGGATGTGGCTGTGGACATGCAGATTTCTTTTGCAAGCATTTTTTTTTGTCCCCTCCCCCTGAATTTGGATCTTTGGGCTCTATAGGACAGATTTGAACATAATTCCCAAAGAGCTCTGGGAACTGTAGTTCTGAAGTGTTGGAAAGGAAGACTAGGCATAATGGAGCATACTCACCAAAATGCAGATCCGAGGATTCTTTCAGGATGGCAGATGGCATAAAACATGTCGGTCATAGATCGGAAGCAATAAGAAGGCCCAGAAGAAATAAGAAGTTCTAGAAGCAATTTGCCTTCTTTGACTGGAGAACACTGGAGAATTAATTTCTAACACTTTCCTATCCCAGCAGCAGACCCCTGATTTTTCTCCTCATTACATCCTTGAAGGTTTCCTGTCTTCTAGGATTAGCATTTTGGTGAGATCAGTGGACAGCAGGGTGGGAGGTGGGGAGACAGGGAAGTCATGTTCTGCTGATTTTTATTTTTATTTATTTATTTATCTTTAAATTTATATTCCACCCTCCCCGAAGGCTCAGGGCGGCTCACAAGGGGCACAAATGCCCAAGTTAAAACATTAAAACAGTACAGTCACTTTTACCATAGTTCCAGGAGAGTGAAAGTTT